CAAACTTTCGCCGAAATTAGTTGGACTGACATCACCACTGCAAACCAATGTTTACGATTAGTCCAGGGAAAATTGAAAACTTTGATCTGTGGTGTGATATTTGACTGTCTCATCCAGAAATAGGGCATTGGAGGCCCAGAGCCCGATCTTCAGTTCACGGATCAACAGAAGGTAAGTCACGTATTCTTATCCGCTAAGAGCAAGCTGGCGCCAATCATCTAATGGAGAGCTGACAAATCAACGGAGAATTGGGTTCACCGTCACTCGGTGCTGTTTTACATGTTCTGTGTCACTCGTCCCGCAATGGTAGACGGGTATATGAGAACACCTTGGCAGCGAAGTATGAAAGCCATTACCAGCAAACTCACCTGCACTGGTCATTGCCGTCTTCCTGGATGGGGACCCCGAGACGAGCTACATCAATGGCTAGAGACATTGTCAGACTTGGCCCAGTCGCGCTCGTGCATCCGAGCTATTGTCTTCAATGCATAGCTCCCTTCCCAATCACCCCACTTGACAGTGCTGGATTTATGCACCAATTTATCAGCTGCCGCCTGCAATGCGCAGCTACCCACCCCTCCCCCACAAATCATCGGTGAACGAAACTGCGGCAGCTACAACCACCGTACGACGAGTAAGCGGTTATTACAGCTGACGACGATAGATCTTCGTTGTCTATAGGAATGGGCCACTGTGGTACATTGATCTACAAGGGCTTGTGGGAGAGGCCGTCCCGCCTGAAGTGGCATGCCTAGAATCAGATGTCACTAATGTCGCACGCTTATCCATTCACCATGAACTACCGAAGCACCATTGCGTCTAAACGCTACAGTAGATTTGTTTCATATTGATCATACGGTTGGAAACCATCCAGGTCAGTGACGTTTAAAACAGCGCAAAATTAACCGTACTTCATAATCTGTTTGCGGTCATTTCTCATCCTATGTTACTGCCCCACACAGCTTTCCATGTCTGAACTGGGGCACGCAAATCAGTTAGCACTTGAGATCAGTCCAAATTAAATTAAGAGTATCGCAAATGGTGTCACGTGAAAGCCAAAGTGGTATGCGAATGAGTGTAACTGCCGAATTTCGTATAATTTCGGGTTCAAGAAATTAAGGTTGACGGAAACCCGAGAGCTGCGCCAACCTGATGAACCCCTAGAAGGGTGAAACCGGTCGCTGGCTGTAGAAGTGGTTTCAGCAACCTTACGAGTAGTTTCCCTCAATAAAGACAACCTTAGATGGTTACCGTCGCCGGCCACGCTTATGATTCTTTACCTCTCGGTATCACGAATCTCGGGAGCAATTTTCCGATTAATCAGAATAACATCATCATCATCATTGTCAGCTGTAAGCACCGCGTACTCGTCGTACACTGGTTGTAGCTGCCACAGAATAACACTAATTCATCTGTCACAGAGAATGACTTCAAACTGTAGCGCCTCATGTTTGCCTCTGACAAGAAATCCTCTACTCAGCACCAGCTAGACCTGACCGCAGTTGCTGATCCGGGTAGGTTTCGGTTGCCAGTCGGAAGCGCAGCCACTCCCAACGAGCAACTGACTGTCACCTTCACTGCTGAGCCTACCACTTGGCGGTGATGGCTACCAGTAGGAAACAAACCCGAGTGAAAGAACCCACTGATCCCCCGGTCTAAACTCCATCTGGACTTAAGTCGCTCGTTGGTGCGGTAGAAATGGCGTGAGTGTATCTGTACCCCAAATAATGTGTGAGACTGTTGTGAGCTGTATAAGAACGTAATTAGAATGTCATAACATTCGCAAGTCCTTAGTTATCTGTTATCAGTATCTGAGCCGTTCAAACACCGATAGCCAACAACCCGCACCTAAAAATCCATAATCCCGATAGTCGCTGTTCTACCGACCCGAAATCCGGTGGCAACTACTGCAATGACGTCTGCGTGTAAAGCATCAGGTGCGAATCCCTGGTGGCTTGTCTAACGCACAGGAAAACAACGGGGCAAATGTGTCGAACCTAAAAACAAATTACGAGGGGTAGAGTGTATGAAAAGGCCAGCTTTCTCGGAGAAACGTGCACGTTGTAATGAGTACACGGTGAATCTTTCAAGACATTGCTTGTCTAAAGTGAGAGCCACAGTGTCGCGGTAAGTTGTGGTGTTCACTAACATTTTACGATGCTTGATGCGCCGTTAGCTATCCCGTTCCAAGCGTAAACGAACCATAGAAAAGTATCTGGTGGCCTGTGTCCGCCCTGGCCGTGCGTCTAGCGCTGAGAACAACATTGAAGGGCCATGAAAAGTGCACTACAGGTGCAATACTGTACAGGATCGCAGGGACTCAAAGGTGGGTTCCACAGTGATTAGGTATGCTAAAGTTGGACCACTTCTCGTTGTGTTCACCTAAAGTGGTTTGCACGATGCACAGTCCAGTGTCAGGCCAAGTGGACTGGATCCATCTCACTGTTCTCCTTCTACATGGCGAAAAACAGGAACAAACCCATCCTATCCAGAGTGTAATCTCCATTTAGACGATATGCCCTAAAAAGTTGAACTTCTCGGGGAGTCAGCACTTCATCACCAGGTAAATATTTATCCGAGGAACCACAATGATGAAAGGCGCTTTGAGACCGAGAAATACCAAGAGAGCATGTGACCCCGTGTTGGCTCCATCACCTGCCAGTCCACCAGGAAGCGTTCGACCTCAGGTATCGCAGACAGGACAATAAGATGGACAGGTAAAAGATTGCGTTTTTTCTACAAATCAATGCACAGAAGCCGTACTCAGATTAAGCAGGACCAGGAAGCTCCATGGGATGAGGAATTCGTGAGTGACACATCTACTGTTTATTCCTTACCTTGTATGGACCGCGGTGTTCCGGTTCCTCGAAAAATCCCATAAGTTTGACGGGTAAAATACCAAATTCAACAGGAAAAGTTTGAGTTTCGTCACAGCAGACCGGAAATCGAAAGTTCAAACGTATGGTAAGCCTACTGATATTCGTTAAGCTATACTAAGCCAAGCCCAGTCCTATCGATCATCTGCGGTTGGCATTATTGGAGAATGAGTCTCTCGCAAGGATGACAAGCACACAGACAACAGTTGGGAAGTGCATTTCCATTAACACGCGGTAGGCACCGAGTGAACCGTAAGTGTTTTCTCAGTTTATAATATGTGGGTGCGGGAACCTGATATGGAGGGCCGGAATTCAACCCATACTAAGCAGAAGTCACTATCTACTGGATGACAATGACGAACAAACCAGACGTCAGCCCGACTGAGAACAACCGGAACAACCGATATGGAGCTGAGTAAGCTCGTTTGGCAGAGTGAGGATTTGATCGAAAATTCACCAGTGGCTCTTGACTGATATGAGTGCACTGGTTCATGTACACCCAAATCCTCAATGTTTATTATGTGACTGATATAGGCTCAAAATGGCTTCGGTTACAAGTCATACCGGAAGAACACGTGAATCGAGTAATAACACACGGCTTAATGGAGCTCTGTGTAGACACTGAACTAATGGGTAGGACTGCAGCATCGAATCGGATCTTTCCATCCATCCACTAACCAGGAAGGAATCGAAGCTTACATTTCCCCTCGACCTCCTTACGGAAGATAGGAACATCCAGTCCACCTCAAAGATACACAGACTGGTCAGTACCTGCGATTCTCCGGCTAACCCAGTGCTCGAGACTGGCGCCCGTTCCACAAGGCAGTACCAGAAGGATGCATAGGTCATTTGTTAGTTGAGAATAGGAACCACATCGAGGCCACTTTATAGCAGGCAAATAGCTTCCAAAAAGGTGCACAACTGCATAGTAACCTGCAGGATCTCTCTCAGCCCCTTGAATTGAGACTACTCTATAAGAGACGTTTTTCCTTCATTAGCAGTAAGCAGACACTCCATTCAACCGGGAAGAATACAGTAAACACAATTCGATGCAGCTAGAATCATCGCTCTAAGAGAACGTTGTTTCGCTCGGCAGCGGACTCAGGAACTCACGGGTTAATAAGTTCACCGCCGAAACGGTGTATATTGACGAGAAATACGGACTAAAAGCAAGCAACTTTGTCTCAGACCCACGGCGTTGGGTTTGTTGTTCTGACCGATGGACAAAACGATACGGTGTCTACACCTGTGTTTACGAGTTAAGAACAACGTGGCTGGTTTTGTTTCCGAGGTGTGCGAGTGAAGCCACTGGCTTGTCCTTGAGGACAGAATTACACACCGGGAGATCTGAGTCTTGTTTACGTTAACCGCAACGCAACAAAGCATTCAGTTGTAAATACGCGACTCTTCAAGGATGGACTTTCCGGGATTGGGAGGATTTGTATAGATAAAAAATGTTTAATATATCGTAATACTAATGTTTGACAAGGGTCAGTCGAAGGGAGGGGAGGGTAAGATATGGACTGCTTGAAAGGGATAGTGTTCACACGAAGTGATCGAGGTGACCCCAAATAACAGTGGTTGTACAGTTCCATAACAGAACAGTATGCAAGTTAGCGGCTTAGTGCTGAGTTATATGCAACAAGTGTAAAGGACTGAAGTTCTCTCGCGACCTAGAATTACTTAGTAGAGAACATGAAAAGTGCTGTTAGGTGAACAGCATAACCAAGGAAACAGACTGCGCTAGTCGTTTGTCGCACTGGATATGCCGAATGAACCTAGCCTACATATATCTCGGCGACACCTTGTGACACGATGTTTCCACTCAAGGGACCTATGGAGATATCACATCCACCGGACCGACGTGACAGTAAACGTGGCAACCATAGCATGCAGGCGGGCCAATGTTCCATCCGAGGAGCTTACAGGACTCGCAAGCTGAAACAGCTCAGAGATCGCGGGTTAAATCGTCAGGATGTTAGATTAAATAATACGGATCCTTGAGCCGTTTTTTCCGAGAAACTAACCCATACGGTAACCAAAGCCAGCGGGTACAGCGAATCCCTTCTAGGACCAAGTGCCGTTTGCCCGTAGTTGAATGCGACTAGGTCTTCTTGACCATTATCAGACCGTAAAAAAACGTTTAGCTGTAGCATCCTTCAGGAGCCTAACTGCCATGCCACCCGAAGGTTGCACGAGGGCTAGGATACTGCCAGGTTGCCCAAGCCTAGACAGGAGAAGTCGAGAGGCAGAGGTCGGGTTCGAACCACGGACCTCCCGGTCAGTAAGTTCGCGCTCTAACCACTTGGGTCATCTTGCCCCATCAGACCGTAAACCCTCACTAAATTATCCAGTACTGCTTCGTTAGTTATCCGATCGCTTCTAATTTTCGACCTTGTACCTGTGTTTCATCAGGACGAATTGAGGTACAAACGCTCAAATGTATTCGATAACGCCGGCACAACGCTGGATTTCCGATTGGGTTGGTCTATTCCCAATTACTGTCCGTCTTATTGCACTTATACCTTCTGAGTACAAGCAAAAAATAGGTTTGTACGAAAATAATAATAATATAATTGTTCAGCTGTACCACCCTTCGGTGCCTAGCTGCCATGCCACCCGAAGGAAGCGCAGGGGCCGAGATACTGCCAGGTTGCCTAGGCCTGGACAGAGGAAGTCGAGAGGCGGAGGTCGAGTTCGAGCCACGGACCTTCTGATCAGTAAATTCGCACTCTAACCACTTGGGCCATCTCGCCCTCCTTAGTATTTCAGTGACTTGGTACCATGAGAATAATGTTACTTGATATTCCATCTTCTGCCCGTCGACAGCTAACGCGGTTGCATGCAAGTCACTGACGATGCCAATTTGAAGCTGCAGACATTCGTCCACTAGAGGTAGCCTATTGATCCTACCAGCGTTTTCTGAAAAGGGAGTCTATCAACAATAGAGCTAAGCTGTGACTGAAAATTACCGATCGTGGCTGGGCCGACAAAACCTAATCAAACACATTTAGTGTTCGTTGCAGAGTAAAACCTGTCACCAGGCAAAGGGGTTGCTGAAGGTGAGACCAGATTTGATGACCAGAGCCATCTGTAGTCAATCCGATCTGGACAGGCTGATTTTTGGTCAAGCTTTCTTCACCAGAGGAAATTAAACATTAAAAAACCGATACTCAGAGAATTCGCCTTCTTGTACTCTCCAGAGGGGAATCACAGCGCACTGTGAATAGCACCGTGGGCATGCACCATGACTCCGAACTTTGCACGTAAGTAGCAACAGCCATGCACAACGGTAGCAGAAGGACGATCAGTCCGAGCGGAGCTACCTAACCATTACTGCCAATTCAGGATCGAGCAGTGCCATGCCCGCTGGCCTTATTTGTGAGCATCACAGCAGACAGCGAAACAAGGGACCACAACTTCGCAGCCACACAGTAGTTACTAACAACGAGTAGACTAAGTGGAGAGATAGAGAGAGCAAGCAAGATTTCCGGAGACGCAGGATATTTGCTGGGAGCAAATTGGCCGCACATGGAAGTTTACATAACAGAGTGTGGCGGACGGGAAAGGGACAGAGGAGCAAAGAAGAACCAGTCTCCATTCATACCTACACCAGGCTCTATACGACAAAATGGCTCGATAGCAGAGTAGGAATGAGTAATCGAGAAGGAATAGAGGGACGGCAAGAGGAAAACATAATACGTCACTGCCAGTTGTTGGTATATGACGACAGAAGCGATCACGATCAGCACGATCGATACGGATGTGACCATTCTGCAAACAAATGACGGCCATGGGGTATTGTTCTGGTAGTGAGCAATTTATCACAAACCGGAGTGGAATGCAACATGTCCAGAAGAGGAACTGGATTGTTAGGAACAACAGAATGAACGGGCCGTTCAGCACACAAGTGGCATAAATGCCAGATGAATTCGATCAAAAATGCACGACGATGCAACGAGTTGAGTGTGGTGGCCGTCGAGTGTCAGCGCGTCACACAGAAGGAAAAACAAGTATTTTCGGTAGCACAAAAAACTAGAGCATGGTGATCGAACGAGGAAACGATAGGCGAAGTATTGTTGGAAAATACGGTATCTGATTGAAAACGACGAAAATGACACGCTTAAATCAGTATGGATGCATCAACAGTGGACTCCCTTCACTCCTACAGTTCAATCAATGTGCGTGTTTGTGTGCAAAAGAGGATGAATGAATACGAGACAGGTGCATGAAAAGTTCCCCGAAGAAGGGGATTACCGTGAGGGGGAGCAGGTGAAGGGTAGTGAGTGGCTGCGAGATGGTCGCCAGGGGGATGACATCACTGGTGAGGAAGGTGTGGAAGTTAGCTTACTTTGTGGTCATCATGGTTACGAATTCTGCAAACAAGAAGTTATAAATGGCCGTGTAATTAGTGCGTTTTAAGCAGCAATCAAGCAGCCACGATGCACTCACACGAGCATACACGTAGCTAGAGCTTGGAGGACATGCGACATGCAAGAGCGGACATGCACCGGGTACAGATGGATGGTAAAAATGAAACAGGTGCTCCTCATACGCAGCTTGAGGACTATCCTTTATCGGAGGATGTCCGCTCCCATACTGAGGACTATGACCACATGAATCAGTACTCTGAATGAAACGCCAGATATCACCCGGTTGCATTATGGCCCGAACCAACTCAATACACTAATCCGAAGCCCAGGTATATCCAAGCGACCCGCAACGACTCCCATCAGGTAGAAGATCTTGGAGCTTAAACGGTAATCCTTTAAGTCACGTACCAAGAAGCGAACTACAATTGATGACATCGATCGACACAAGTGCGTGGGAACAACGAGACACCGTCTCGTCAACTAAGTATAGAAAGATCGGTCTAACATAAGGACCGCAAGGTGGCGGTTCCTATTGGATTACAACCTCACCAAGACCCGGCAACTTCCCAGCTGCAACAGGAAAAACGCACGTGAGTCGTCAAACAGAAGTAGTGTACCATGCGGCTGATGGACATTCTTATTTTTGTTAGAGGAATAGCGTAATACCGCGTTTTGATATAGAAACATTGGCAAAGCGGTAGTAGCGCCGAGGTCCATTTGTTGGTCACATAAGCAACAAGAATAAATACTACTTCCGGGGAAGTCAAAAAATAGTAACATGAAGTGGGCCGCGTGGGTTTTATTCGCTGTGGAGGGGGGTGGGGCTTGTTCAATCAGGGGGTGTGCGGGTTGGTGCAAGGGAAGGGTTTCGCAGGAATTGGTCCAAATCGGCTTACAAAGGCCATAAAAAGGTCAAACGGAATTCAAGGAGCATCGATCGCTTTCCACCACAAAAGGTAGCATATGGGGCGACGACACAGTCGACATGCGACAGTTTGACAATGGAGGGGACGAAAACGCGAACAGAGTTACAACAGGTGATGTACGCACCGCGCAAGTTCTGTGCACAAACACACAAAGTCGATTGTTGCAAGCGACAGTGTGCCTATCGGTTGTTTGTGACCCCAACTTATGCCAACGGAAGGGGGAGCTGCTTTCTGGTCTTCTTACTTCGCCGTCATCATTTTGACAAACTCTGATGTTCCGAGATTAGCAAGTCCAAATGGATGGACAATTTGACAGTGAGCCAAGGAGAGCCGGTCGCGTATACCGAGGTCAAGGCGGAGATAACATCAAACAGGGGGGCGAGATAGTGGAGTTGCGGAGGGGATAAGGAGGGGAAAAACAGACAACGATGAGAAAAATACGGAGTGCACGCAACAGACACGACGCCACATGATTGAAACAAAAACTACACACCAAAATCTACAACAAGACAATGACGAGAAAACAACAAAAGACTACTCAGAACGGTACATGGTACACTGAACTCACCCTCGTAGTTTACTTGACCGTCGCCATCAATATCAGCTTCGCGGATCATTTCATCGACTTCTTCATCCGTCAACTTCTCACCGAGGTTTGTCATTACGTGCCTAAAAGTGGGAAACAAAAGTGAGATGGAAATTATGCTTAACTCAGCGGGCAACTCACTGGAGAATGTTGCAACCATGCAAATCCGATCTGCTAAGATGAACCCGGGCAACATCTCAAGTTCGCTGGACGACACCACCGCTAGGCTAACAACATCCGAACTAGGGCTTGGCGCGCGAAACTTTGACAGTTGAGTAGTTTAAATTGAATGGGTGCCCAAGCACTTTGTACAACTATCTCACGACACTTGAGTTTTGCATAGTTCGAGAGAAGAACCTAACTCAGAGTAATTTGGCTGTAGGGAAATCTCTGATGAGACAAGAGCATGCTATCGATACATAGCAAGCTAATGATAAGGACAAAGGCAGATGTATACGGGACTCTGTTTGATGTGACAACCAGGTTCACCGTGCACAGTTTAATTGGGCGCTAACAAAGCCAGGGAATTTATTGGACAATTTTTGCCAGCGATACCCTTGACAATAGTGGTGTAGAGCACCGAAGCTTCACAACCGGGGACTAGATGATGAGGAAGCGACAATCGCCTGACAGACCAAGCGGATGAGCTCAGACTCGCTTGGATGAACGTATTCATAGAATGGTGTTTCCTACTCCATTTGACCCAATCAAAGCTCTTACGAACACGTACAAACCGCCCAACAATACAATGGCGATTAAAAAACACACTGCCTTAAGAGGGAAGAGGTTTATCTACAGAAAACATGGCGACTGTTATCGAAGCGTAAAAGATCACCGCAAATACGGTTAGGAAATGCATGGATCACTGGGGTTTTGACACACTACAGCGGCTAGTAGAGATAGATGATGAGCATCAAGAAGCCTTTCATTCGATGACTGTGTATGCGTGGATGTTGGCCCAAAAGAGTAAAGACAGTATAGTTTAAGCACATAAACACGACCATCATTACAATCACCAGTCATACATAGAAGAAATGCTAAAAGCGGTCGGCGCTACATGGTCCAACCAGAATAACGACATGTAGTACTAAACCCGTTTTACCATGGCTCGATTTACACCACAATCAAACGGTGACCAACAGTTCGGGCTCACCGTCCCCTTCTACAAACGACCCACATGTTGGTGTATCTGCAATTACAAGCAGATCAGAACAAAACTTTCTCATGGGTAACCTGAGTAAGGCACAGAAAAGTGAACACATACAGTAGTTTCAGGATATGAGGTGAGGACTGGTTAGAAACGGCATACATAGCAGGCGACACGAGTGACATGAGGACAGTATTTTCCCGAGGCTACCTTACGAATCCAAAAAGATGAGATGCTTGGCGGCTTGCGTCCCCTAACTAAATTTTTCAGAAGACCCATCGGACAGAATGACGGTCACTTGCCACGTGAGACGATCGACAACACCACCATACGACAAGGTCGTATGGGCACGCTCGATTCCCGTTGGTAACACTGACGTGAACTCACGCTGAATCATCTTACAAGTAAATTGAAATAGCTCGTGCGGCTTGACTTGACCCACTTCTTCGTCTTTAGTTCCAAAAACTAACCTCTAGGTCGTTGCACCGTACTATTCGAAAAGGGAGTGCTAAATGATTTTGGTCGAGTATCGGACTCGGTAAAACATCAATTTGCACCTCTTGCGTGTGGGCGTGTTTACGCCTATTCACTATTCCTATACACCCATAATTATCACGAAAACAAAGACAGTGAAAACTCGTAGATGCAGTGGAGAGTAAATCAATGGACAAACTACTCCCTGAATCGAGGACAGCATACTAACATGTCGCACGGGATTCATGGATGGACCATCCTAGAAAGCAAATCACTCAGGCGTGACGTGGGACCACGTCAACCTGTGGGACACAAACTCAGTCCCAAGTCCGGAGTGTTCGGCTGTAGCCCAACTGTCACACCACCACGAGGGCTGGGATACCGCTAGGTTGTTAAAGCCAGGGGAAGTCACAGCATACTAACATGTCGCACGGGATTCATGGATGGACCATCCTAGAAAGCAAATCACTCAGGCGTGACGTGGGACCACGTCAACCTGTGGGACACAAACTCAGTCCCAAGTCCGGAGTGTTCGGCTGTAGCCCAACTGTCACACCACCACGAGGGCTGGGATACCGCTAGGTTGTTAAAGCCTAGACAGGGGAAGTCGAGAGGCAGATATCGGGTTCGAACCACGGACCTTCCATTTAGTAAATTCGCGCCATTTGAGCCGTTTCGCCCCCTGATACCCGGAAACCAAATGTGAAATATGAAGCAGTAACACAAATCCACTGGTCAAGAACAAGTCCGCTTTACTCCCACAAAACCCTTATTTTCCTTGGGCCTTTCTAGGGAAGGCCATATTACTTGCGGGAAGCTTGGGATATTCAGTCTTTCTTAAGTAGCGACTTGTATGTAAATATACGCACAATCACTTTGGACAGGGTATTTAAAGCGCAAACCCACTGCCTAAGTGCAGTAACGCGGTTATTATGATGGTTATACGAATGGCCTATATTGATTCCAGGAATCAGGTCATCATCAATGGACAGTAAATTGAAGTATATTTCAAACCGTTGATTAAAAACGCGACCTCTCAAACTAACGCTATCAACATAAGTTTTAATTAGAAATAACTCCACTTAACCGGAGCTCTTGGCGATACAGAAGCAATAGATAAAGCTGCTTAGAAATCATCAGCATCATTGTCAGCTGTAATAACCACGTACTC